TTATTTACTGTTTTTACCAAGTTCCTCCCACTTCGTTTCTTCTAGAGTTGCTGGTGTATTTTATGGGTTGGGCAACTGCTTTTCTTAGTTCTTACTTCAGTATTAATTATTAGTATTAATAGTATCATAGCATTAACCATTAGCAATATCAGGTTATCTTCAAGTTATATTACACAACTTAATGCAGACACTGGTTCGGAAATTTTTGGAAGCAAAAAATTTGGGTAAACTCATAATAAATATTGGGAATTACTTTTTCTGTAAAAACTAAGTGCTGCTTTCCATTCTGTCTCTCCAATTCTTATATAACTTACTATGTGGAGAGCACTTTTGTGTTATTAAAGCTTGTACTTCTTTTCCATTGAATTGGCTTATGCAAATTTAAAGTTTTCTTATTTTTGCTTGGTATGCAAGGACTGCTGGGGGATCCCACCAAAAGCCATGAACATGCTAGCCAAGCACACTATAAGACCCTAAGCCTAAACTTCGTATTTTTTGTTTTTATTGAGCTAAATATTTTTCTCTGCTTCCCTCCCATTCTGTCCACTCCCTTTCTACCCTCTCCCATACTCCCAATTTATTCATAAGGTCTTGTCTTTTCTACTTCTCATGTAGATTAGATCCATATATGTCTTTTTAGGGTCATCTTAGTTGTCTAGGTTCTCTGGGATTGTGAACTGTAGGCTGGTTTTTATGTCTAATAGTCATTTATGAGTGAGTACATATTATATTTGACTTTCTGGTCTGGGTTAACTCACTCAAGCTGTTTTCTAGATCCATCCATTGGCTTGTGAATTTCAAGATGCCATTATTTTTTCCTCTGTGTAATACTCCATTGTGTAAATGTACCACACCTTATTTATTCAACTTCAGTTGAGGGACATTTAGATTGTTTCCAATTTCTGGCTATTACAAATAGTGCTGCTATGGACATATCTGAGCACATGTCATTATGGTATAATTGAGCATCCTTTGAGTATATAACCAAAAGTGGTAATGCTGGTTTTGAGGTAGGTTGTTTCCTAATTTTCAGAGAAATTGCCATACTGAGTTTCAAAGCAACTGTATCAGTGTGCACTCCCAGTAGCAATGGAGGAGTGTTCCATTTACCCATGTCCTCTTCTGCATAAGCTATCAGTGTTTTTGAACTTGGCCATTCATACAGGTGTAAGATAGACTCTCAGAGTTGCTTTGATTTGCATTTCATGAGGTCATTTTTCCCAGGAACTGTTTTATTGACTCAAGATCAGAGTTTGCACATACTCCCAATCTTAAGTTCAGACAACTGTTCAGTGTCTGGGAACCCTCATCAACTTAGAACTATGTGCAAAGCCATGGTTGCTCACTGGCCGGTCATTGTGATCCTGAGTTTGGCTGTGAGAAGAGCAGAGGCAGCAGAGGAGTGGCCAGGCAGAGAGTGAAGGAGCAATGATGAAAGGGCAGCATCAGCGGGGCAGAGAGGAGAGAGCAAGAGATTTTTTTTTTCCAGAGGATCTTTTTAAGATGAAGCGAAAGTTACTATCAGAAAGCAGTTGTGTTTCCTTTTTAACCCCCTGATGGAAGTCTAACCTTTAGCTATCAATGCATTTGTGAATTTTCTTATTTACCTTGGTGCTGACTGAAGGCTGGTCCCCACAAGTCAGCTTTATATGGCAGCCAAACAGGGACAGATACAGGATTTTGTAAGGAATAATTGAGAGAGGTATGTATGTAAGGAGATCGTCAAGAAAGTAATTATTTAAATTGAAGTAAAAAAGGCTACCATCAGAAAAACATGTCCATGTTCCCTTTTTTCTTAAGTTAGCAGCAGGAACTGTACTTGTTTATTTTCCCCTCAGATAGAAAAGTGTAGCAAGCTTCAGATAAGAGTTTTTTTTAAGCCCTGCTACTTTGAGGTTTTCTCTTTCTGGAGACCTGGGAGCTGGCTTCCCATGGTCTGCATTACTTAATGGCCCATTCTGATGAGAGTTTAGAAAACCAAAAAGTTAAAAGAAACAAACAGTGAAGACCCAGCTTACCAAGGTTCAGAGATCAAGGACTCCAACTTAAATTGGGCTAAAGCCATATAGCTGGGCAGTGGTGGCACATGCCTTTAACCCCAGCACTATGGTGGCACACAGTTGGATCTCTGTGAATTTGAGGCCAGCCTGGTCTATAAGAGCTAGTTCTAGGACAGGCTCCAACCAAAGCTACAAAGAAACCCTGTCTCAAAAAACAAAAGGGGGGGGGGCGCTAAATGCCATTTGTGTGCTATCTTGACCACTCTCTGCAAAATGCATTCTGCCAAGGTCATAAAAACTTTAATGAAGATAAATACAGGAGTACAGGGGTAATTATTTTGGTAGAATAGAAATTTTGACAGGATAGTAGTCAAATTGTGATGGGGTTACTACTTATTGTTCTGATCTAGGTCTACAAACAGGAAGAAGTGTGCAGTTTGGTGAGGAAGTGTCAGCTTAACTTTATAGGCAAGGCAATGTTAAAAAGCAGCCGTTAATTATCAGTGTCAAAGGCACACTTGACGCTAGTACTGTACAACAGGAAAGCTGTGCAATTGTGATCCACAGGAGCTAGGCCCCATACTGAGCTGGCAGCAGAAACTGACTACAGTATCCACATAATGGAAGTTTTACAAGCACAGATGAATTGAGAGGACCCATGGTCTTTCACTATGGCTCCAGAGAGCTGCTGAGGCTATGCTATGTGGCAGAGTTGATGTCCTTGCAATAAGGCTCCCCAAGGGCAATGTGTGAGAATATGAGATGAAGATCCTAGGGTATTAGAGCTGCCAGAACTATGAGATGCGCACTGAAGCTGCAGTCATGGAGTGGAACCATCTCCAGGGCATTGTGTGCTCCAGGTGTGGACTCCCACCCTGGGAGTCCACGTAATTAATTCTATTGCGAGCATCACTCACTCAATAGTGTTAGATGGAGCTGACAACATGGCTACTGTTACACTTTAACTACTATAAATGAGGGTGTTAGCCCGGTTCTATAGCAATCCAGGTTTCAAGGAAAAAGTTGTTTTTTTTCTTTTTTTACTGAGGTAATATTCTCTTGATTTTCTTTATTCTGATCTTCAGCCAATAGAACAAGAAGAATTTTTTTTACAGAGTATATAAATTGTCTATATTGTTTACATTGAGAAACACATTTTAAAGTCACTTATGGTTTATACAATGCATATTCTTATGCTTTTTGCTGGTATTCTCACATATCTCTGTGAGTGACAGGAGAAATGTTTTTCTATTTCACAGATGAAGAAAGCATCCACGATTTGAAGTGCTTTTTCTACACCACTAAAGGATAAAATGGTAGTTAGGAAACCATATGCTCACATCTTGACAATAATCTCATGAATGCCCCCCCCGACTCTGTTACTCATTTCACCAGCATTTATTAAGCGCCTGTAGTATGCCAAACCCAGAACTGAGCACTGGTAATGCATAGAGCAGAGAAGCAATAGGAAGAAAGCAAGAACACAAGTGGAGATGAACGAAAGGTGCCCCAGGTGGAAATGTTTTTTTGTTTTGCAAAGGCCCATGAAAAACGAATGGTAGCAAGAGTTTGGAGGTTGCTGTTACCAATACGCTTTTATTATTAGTCAGATACCAGAAACACTCATGGATCATGATGCACCACTGGTCCCTGCCCAGGGGTGTGGCACCACAACCATCCTGCTGGTCAAGCTAAACTCACTGTAAATACTGACCATAACACATGGAGAAGGCTTTGAAAGGAGAGATTAACTCCAACCCCAGAAGCAAATGCAAGCCCTGGTAGGAAGTCTTCCCTCATTTCCTCTGATAGGCTCTTGTGCTAAGCGAAGAAATGGTTAGGCTCATAACAGACATTCTTTCCAAAACATGAAATTCAACTATTTAGATGTTTTTATTTTTATTTGTGCTCTACCTTATTAATAAATTTTACTACAAAACCAAAAAAAAAAACCAAATAAACAAAACCCCTTACATTAACCGGCCTTGCATTTGACTAATTTTACTACACCCGTTCTTAAGAAAAAATAAATAAAATGCAAATGGCTAGCTTAAAGTGCAAATTCGTACTTTTTTTTTTTGGTTTTTCAAGACAGGGTTTCTCTGTGGTTTTGGAGCCTGTCCTGGAACTAGCTCTTGTAGACCAGGCTGGTCTCGAACTCACAGAGATCCACCTGCCTCTGCCTCCCGAGTGCTGGGATTAAAGGCGTGCGCCACCACCGCCCGGCCAAATTCGTGTTTTATAGACGTCAATTTTCCATGTTGCTGACTACCTATGGTTTTCACTCACACTATGTAGGTTGTTCAACAGTGTTGCATCACCTGAGGAAAAGCTTACTCTACTTAACGTAAAATCAATGACTACTGACTTCTTGCTGCACGTGTGTTCTGTCATGACAGCTTTACTGGGTAAGTTCAGATAACCTGATGTGGGAGGTGATGTACGCTGGGAGTATGTTTTATTGCCATTGGTTAACAAAGAAGCTGCTTTTGGCCAATGGCTTAACAGAGTAAAGCCAGGCTGGAAAGGACATATAGAGAGAGTAGGTGGGGGTGAGGGAGAAGCCATGTAGCTGCTGTGGGAGACAGAGGCCGGACAGAACCTTACCGGCAGATCACAACCACAGGCAATACAGAGATTAATAGAAATGGGTTAATTTAAGATATAAGAGCTAGCTAGCAATATGCTTAAGTGATTGGCCAAGAAGTGTTTTAACACAGTTTCAGGTCTGGGTGTACAGGAACAAATGAGCAGCCTCTGCCTACACTCTCCCAAGACAATGTTTGCTCTTGTAAGATATACAACAGTGACCTTATTTTGATTATGAAATTTTTTAATCACACTTGGTATTAAACTATTAACTTAGAGTTCGAGAAAGTCATTTAATCTATTTACTAGATTTCTCTCACATACAAAATAGAAGTGTTATATGATTGTATTAGAAGAATTAAAAGGAAAGCTTAAAACTATTTGGTAAGTAAAACATTTAACAATGTTAAATGAAGCTCACCAATTAAGATTTATTACCCAAAGAACTTTAGAAAAACAAAACTCTACAATCAACACCTATGCATGTTCACTTATGACACCTAAGAGAAGGCACAAGACATCTGGTGCTCTGTGAATTCACAAGTGCTTATGAGCATACTAGTAAAAGCTGAAAATCATAGTCTAATTTGAACAACTTAAATTCAGCTTAACACTTGGATCAATTAAATGTTAAATAAAATTTAAACTTTTCCAAGAAACATTTTTCAACTCTAAAGCTGAATGAATCAGAGTTACAATTTCAGTGGAACAAGAAAAAATTCACAAACAGAATCTGACTACAAATCGTTCAGAATATAATTAGTAGCCATCACATATCAGTAGTAAGCATACAGATGCAGAGGAAGGTACTTGTTCTTTGTAATTTAAAAGTATATTAGGGAAAAAATGTGGTTCATAACTATAAATAACTATTTCTTCAATAACTAACCCATGTTCTTGTAGTCAGTTATCTGTCTAAACTCTGCAACAATGGTCTTGCTGAACTAAACTTTCTGTGAAGCAAAAACAGCAAAAAAGCTTGCAAAAGAATATTGCTTCCAGGTCTACCAGCTGCTCCTTTGACTTTTGTGGATAATGTCTCTTGAAATTGGCAAAGTGCCAACCCATGCAAACTAGGCAGGTCTTCACATGCTAGTGCTTCCAACAGCAACTGAAGAATGACGATAGTAGAATGGTGTGAAGGCAGGGGTATCCTGCTGGAGGAGCACACATTCACCATCAACAAGTTTCCACGAAAGAGATGACTTCCTACTGAAGCCAGGTCGGGTATGCGTTCCCAAGAAACAGATGCAACAGGCCAGTGTAAGAAGATCAGCAGAACGACTTAAAGCATTCCACATAAAGAAGTTACAGGAGAACTTGAGCAGAGAGAGAAAGAGACTTAGAACAGACTGAAGGCTCATGAGAAAAGCAGTCTCTTTACTTGTTTGCATCAAAACTTGCAACATTTATTTAGCTCTTTATAATATACTCTTTGGTAAATAATAAGAACAACTAAAATATACTTATATATCATCTGAAAAATGGTACACACTTAATAACTATCAGATTGTCACAGCTCAAAGACACCTGAACAGTAGTGAACACCTTACCAAGATGGGTGCTCTTTATAGCTAAACTTTTCTTCATACTTTCTAAAAGCCATTTAGAAAAACACAAGCATCCTTACTGTCATATACTCTCCCCACTAGTTAAGGCTTATATCACTATTTTAGAAGACAAAAAGGAGGCAGAGACAGAGGGGGAAAAACAGTGAAGTTAAATAATTGATTGGAAGGAAAATTACAGTAATAAGAAACTAAAAATAGAAAGTCTAATTTGGAATCCTGGAAAGATCAGCTAATTCTTTAAAATAAAGAATATATATATATATAAGAACCGTTAATAAGCAGTCCTTAATGTGTTTTGGATTATATTTTGTGTTAATGCCCCTTCAAATTATTTTAAGTACTAATAGATTGAAACAAATTATGTAATTCTTTCTATGTTCAGAAAAATCAATTCTTTAACATAAACAAAGGTTTGTCTGTGACTTTTAAAGGAAAATCATGAGCTAGGCATAGTGGTAATCATAGCACCGGGAGACTGAGGCAGGAGAATCACTGTGTTTGAAGTCTTCTGCATGACAAGAGTTCAAGGCCAGTTAGGACCACATAGCAAGACCCTGACTCAAATACACATGAATACAAAGAAAAAGAGCAGCTTGGATTGTTCTATTTAACCTATATGATAAAGGAACTGGATCAGACAATATGATTCTGTTAATTCTAATGTTAATGATGTTTTATGACTTTGTTTAATCTATTTTCTTTTTCTTTTTTTTTTTTTTTTGCTAAACTACACTTAACGCTAGTCTGTTTTTCCTAATGGCGACATGTTTTCAAATGGAATCACATATTCAGAAATATTAAAATTTAAACCTACCTCTGGCTAGCAACTGAAAACAGTATTTTTTAAAAAAATTAAATAGACGTTATCTACTTTTCAGCAAGGTCACTAAGAATATGGAAAAATTAATTAAAAATTGTACTGTATAAAGAAACCTTAAGTAACTGAAAAAACTACAGAGCATAGTTTAGTTTAGTCATTTTAATCTGTTAGAAGCGTTACAGCTGTCTATTATTGATGATCAGTTGCTATCATGTAATAAAGACACATACTTCCCTCTGTAGACACATAATTGCTAACTCTTCAAAAACTTATACATAATTCACATACAGCTCCAAGAAAGTTTCATTTATAATGGTAAACACTGATTTATTAAATAATAAAGTAGAAGCCCATGCTTTTTAGTCAGCATTAAATTTCTCACAGAGAAATCAAGAAAAAAGTCCTATCATAGATAGTTATTAATAGTTGTGAAACCGTCTAACTCCAATTTCATCAAAGCAGTGAAATGGAAGCTGAATGCAAAGCAGGCAACGCCTGTGCTTTGGCCTTTCTTCGAATCAGTGCTTCCTGACTTTTCTGTTGGATTTCTTCAGGAGAATACTTTCTATTCCTCTCCTCTTTACCTAAAAAGTAAACAAAGCATAGGGATTAATCTTATAACCTGTAAGTTATCCTGAATATGACTTAACTTTTGCTTTTATATTGCACTGGTTTAATCATTAAGTAACACAGAACCATTATACATACAAGCACATGTACACACATAATAAATACAATGTGGTAGGTCAAGATGATGCCAAGCCTCTACCCAATATCCACATTCAAGTATGATAAAAACTGATTTTTGAAAACTCAACAAATAATTCATGAGAACAATGACATCTAACACATGACTATATAAATTTCTTTTACTACCAACTTTTAAATTATATAAACATTGATACAGAGTAAAAACATTATGAATTAAACCGTCTATCCTTCAAATATAGCTGAGGGTGACGAGTCATATTTGCAATGCCAACACTCTGGAGATGGAAGGAGATCCAGTGAACACTACCTGCAGTATGTACTGCAAGATCATTTTCTGCTACCTAAGGCAGTCTTGGAGAAAAAGGGGAAGGGAAGGCAAGGAAAAGGAAGGAGACTCCAAAGACCTATGAAGGAAAGCTGGATACTAACAGTTACTTTTTTCCTTAAAAGAGTGACAAAGTTTACATTTACTCTACCAGAAAAAGATTTGAGTGACAGAATGAAACTTCTCGTGTCCAATTGTGTGGGAGGTGCAGAGGTCGATGTGCTCACTGATAAGCACTTGGAGAACCAGGAATGTTAAACACCCAGTTTCTTCAAAGAAAGGGATGTGCAACTAACTTATCAGCCCAGAAGGCTAAGATTTGACATGGAAATATCCTGGAGTTTTGTGCGCTGTTTGACTTGAGACCGCACTGAATCCTCCCCCAGACTCTTAGCATGAGGATGTCAATCTATAGAATATATCTTTATGGAGAGTGTCATATGCAATCTCTATATAGAACCCATATGTATTGACGATGTCGCACTTTACAAATAGTTTCTTTGTAGTCACAACTTAACCATTACTTTGCACATTGGACTGAGTTAATTATTGCAAAGACCTCTAAAACACAAGCTATTTATAACTGTTTAAAATTTTATTTTCATTGGAGAATGTATCAGAAAATTGAAAAGTCTCTCTGTGTGTGTATGTAAGTTAAAGCTTTAGGTTAGAAACTACTCTCATTGAAATGACATGTAATATCTAAGATTATAACCCTAATATACATTTATGTAAATTTACTGATTAAACCCTAACTTTTTAGCTGAATCTGTATTATTATTAGTGGAGAAATATTTAGGTAGTGAAATCAGAACCATTTTACACAAATTTCTCTTGTTCATGAAAGGAAACTCAAAATATATCTACTTTCTTTCTTGGTATAATCAGAAATTGGAAAGGACAAAGTATTTTTATTTCAAACCAACTATTACATTTACAAAAAAAGTGTAACTCGCCACTGGAATTAAAAGAATATGCAGTAGGGCTTTAATTCCTACTGGGTGGTGCACACTTTAATCCCAACATTCAGGAGGCAGAGGCAGGCAGGTCTCTGTGAGTTCAAAGCCAGCCTGGTTTACAAGAGCTAGTTCCAGGACAGGCTCTACAGCTATAGAGAAACACTTCTCAAAAAACCAAATAACTAACTAACTAAATTAATAAAGCATATGCAATAGATTCATTTTAGAAACCTCACTGAACTAGTTATATTTACTTTAATATTTACAACTGTAATACATTGACAACAATTTTTAACATTTCAAGGCACATTGGGCTGTAACATGGAAAAATACTCATTGTACCAAAATTTTCTACCTTTTTGGAAGAAATCTGGTGATAGCTGTCAAATTTCACAACATTCTGTTACATCGTATTTTTAGGAATTAATATATACAAGTACACAAAGTTCAAAAGTTTATATAGAATTCCTACTGTACTGTTTGTAATTGTAAAAAACCTAAGCATTCATCAATAAAATGAATCTTACCCAATGTGAACAACCATATAATTTAACATACAGCACATAGGCACTAAAGAACTAAAGGAAATCTACAGGTACTAAAAGAAATGACAGTTATAATTTATTAAGGAAATGCAAAAATCAAGCATGTGTTATCCAGTTCTATTTAAATAAAACAATAAATACAGAAACACATATTTTTATATGCATAAAAAATCATTCAAGACAAAAAGCATAAAGACTTGAAGACAAAGCTGAAGAATAATTTCTAAGAAAGTGTATTCCAACAGTAATTTTAAAAAACGATTGCCACATGTAATACTTCAGAGAAATAGACTAAACTAGACAGCTAGGGCTGTTACACAGAGAAACCCTGTCTTTAAAAACAAACAAACAAACAAAACAAAAGAACAATAACAACAACAACAACAACAAAAAGAGACCAAACCAAAGCACTTGTATGTAGTCTAAGAGAGGGAAAAGACTGAAGGCATTAAAAGTAGAGCAGTGGTTGTGCACTTTTAATCCCAGGACATGAGGCAGAGGCAGGTGGATCTCTGAGTTTGAAGCCAGCCTGGACTACAGAGTGAGTTCTAGGACAGGCTCCAAAGTTACAAAGAAACCCATTTTGAAAAACAAACAAATACATAAAAAACCTCAAAAACAAAACCAAAATAAACAAACCAAAAAAAGAAAAAAAAGAAAGACATAAAAGATCCCAAATCTATGGAAGCAAATACTGAAAGCTAGCAGAAGTACAGGTCACATCTAATGAAAAACCTACCAGAACAGCAGACCTCTCAGAAAAAAAAAAAACTAAAATCAGGAGATAGCATGTCTGATATATTTCACATAAAAATTGCCTACCAACCAAGATTACTATGAATACATATATGCATATACAACAAAGTTATCCTTTGAAGCAGAAGGAGAAACAAAAATCTTCAATGATTGAAATAAACAGTACCAATTGATGACCACTAAGTCATCACTGAAGATGACAAAGTAGTGGTTCTCAACCTTCCTAATGCAGCAACCAATTTATTGGGCCAAAATTATTCGCCATCTCAGGGCCTGCACCTCGAGGCCTAGAAGAGAGAAAAAAAGCCTGGCTCAAGTTTGAGTGAGGAAGAGACAGCAAAAACTAGGTAGACGCCCCTTCAGGAAGAGGGAGGGTTTGGCTGCCTCTCATTGGCTAGAGGTACCCCCATATCACAAGATGTCACTTAACATATATAAGAGGACATTCACAGTAATAAACTGAGTTCCTGCTTTGAGTTTACTCCCTATCATGTCTGACTGTTAGGCATTGTAGGGCTACAGAATGGGTGGACAGCACACTCACCTTTCTCTGGGGGAATGAGGAAGCTTAGGAAGCCTAGCAACTGGCACCAGAATGTGGGGTACTGGTCCCACTCCCAAGTAGTCTTCAAGATGAGTAGGTCCCCATGAGGGGTAATGAAACTTCACACAATAATGACCCAGCCCTTAAGGCGTTGAGATATGAGCTTCTTTCCCAAGGCCTGGAATTGTCAGACCACAATGTGATCCAGGCATGGGAGGATAATCACCATGGCCCCCTGGGTACCCACCAGGAATCTTTTCTCGTGGGACACGTGGAACCAGGTGGGGACTCTGGCCATAGAAAGGGCAAAACACTTTGCTATATCCCCATCATTGAAGTTCTATCCAACTATTATGGCCCTTAAGGCATGTTTTCACACAGTTGCTCTGCCTCCTTTAACAGGAGGGTAAAGAAAAGGTCAGAGACCAGGAGAGTTTTAAAGAATCTGAAAATAACTGACTAGGAGGGTGGGGGAGAAAGAAAGAGCGAGAGATCCCAGGCCAGAGCGCTGAGAGGCTTGCGGTCCACGTCCTTTGTGCTGCACTCCTTTGCCGCACCCTGGGGCGTGTGGCTGGGGCTGGGCAGGCCCACAGCTGCCCACAGGGCTTAGGCAGGGAGCAGGGAGGCAGCGGGGACCATGCCTCCATGGATGCCACCATGGATGCCAAGACATTCACCAAGGAGCTGGGCCAGTGGGTAGAGCAGCTGAATGAGTGTAAGCAGGTGAAGGAGAACCAAGTGTGGATCGCTCTTAGAAGGTAGAAAAAAACCCATAGCCGGGCGGTGGTGGCGCACGCCTTTAATCCCAGCACTCGGGAGGCAGAGGCAGGCGGATCTCTGGGAGTTCGAGACCAGCCTGGTCTACAGAGCTAGTTCCAGGACAGGCTCCAAAGCCACAGAGAAACCCTGTCTCGAACCCCCCCCCCAAAAAAAATTATATATATAGTCAACATCTCAGAGGACACCAAAAGCTCCCTGGCCTCATTTATTTCCCAAGGGAATGCTGCTGGGGATGCTGCAGCTTCAGGGACCTATCTCAAGGAGGTCTCAACTCTGTCCATACAGAATGCTACCCAAATGCAAGACTTAACTCATGTCAACTGGAGAGGACTCAAATACTATACCCACAGAGTCCCGCAACAGAATTAAAGAGAATTGTTCATACATGTAACAGTTTCTTGCCAACAGTTTCTCCACATCTCCCCTCCCCTTTCCAAGGGCTGGGGGTAAACCCAAGAGGGTTAGGACCTAATATCATCTGGCAAACAGATGTAACACATTACCCTCTGTTTAGCAAACTAAAATATGTTTGTGACCATAGACATGTACTCTAAGGGATGCTGGGCTACCACCCACTGGGGAAAAGGCAACTCACGCTAAAAGCCATTTCTTACAATGTTTTGCTATGGTGGGACTACCACAACAGGTCAAGACTGACAAGGGACCCTGTTTTATAAGTAAAACATTAAATAAATTCTTCCAGAGATGGAATATATCCATACCACCAGGATCCCATACAACCCTCAGGGTCAAGCGACTGTTGAAAGACATCACCAATATCTTGAAGAGGTCCTTATAAAACAGAAAGGGGGAGAAGTCTCCCCCCATCTACAATTGTAAAAGGTGTTATTAACCATCAATATTTTTAAATTCTCAAAAATCAGATGAACAAAATGGATTCCAGAAACATTGGGGATCCCTACCAAGGAGGCCCTGCCTAAAGGTTAGGTGGAAGGATCCTCTC